TTGTGGCCGTCTGATACACATGCAAATTATGAGCTTGTGAAGTTCAGGCTTGGGCAGAAAGCAAAATTTGAAGATAGTTTTTGGGTTTAAAAGTGACACAGCAGTCTTGACTTTTTCTTTTCGCTGTCTTTCCTCCCCTCTTCTTTTGCTTTTCATGCCTCATTTTTTTTTCTTCTTGCTGGGCATTTAGTAGGCTTCATTTTGGTGGGAAAAGTTTTTGGGAAAGCTTTTAGAACCTTAGTATTAGATGAAAGGAAAGGTAGGTGGGTAGTAAAACATGTCATGGAAATTTTCTGGTCAATGTTACATGGTTTTTTGCCTTTTTTGGGGGGTCTCCTTTACTGAATTGTGCTCTTTGCGATATGGTTCGAAAGATCTCTTCACCCTGCACAACTTAGCGGGCAAAGTTGTCCCGTTAGAGTTGATGGTGTAACAAGCAGTAGAAAGAACCTGGATCTGCATGAGCGATTACAGGCAGTTCAGGGCCAAATGGCTTAATATTATTATTTTTTGCAGCTTGCAGCCCACCAGCTCACAAAATCTCCACCCTGTTACTTTGCTGTGTTAAACCTACCTGAATGTTCAAAGTACTAAAATCTCCTAGCAACAACAGTGCCAACAACAACGAAAAACAAAAAAGAGCTTTATTTATACTTGGTTATTAAAATATAGGAAACTACAATGCAAGTTAGTCCGAGTATGGTAGGTTTTTTAAAATAGTTTTTTCCTATTTGTACTGCACTTTTCTTTAAAGGCCAGCTTTCCTTATGATTGCTCAATCTTCATTATCACTGAGGAAAGTCCAGTGATCTGAACAGGGCTGTCATTAAAAGCGAGGGGCGGGGGATTTCCCCCGGCTACTATGAGAGTGGCCCCCGGCTACTTTTATTGGAAAATAGAAGAAAATTAGAACCAAAAGAAACCCCTCGGTGTTTGACTCCCGACCTACTTGTTGTATTTACCCTGGCAACTCGAAATCTTAGTGACAACCCTGTCTGAATGATCATTTATCATAGCGTTCATATGGAAAGTGAATAATAATGATGAAAATATTTTTTACTAATATTGCATATTTTGGATAAATACTCAAATACACAATACAAGCAAAAATAGAACTGAATCCTGTCTTTGTGATTGTTGGCGCACTGTGTTCACTGTGATCAAGTGCAATCATTTGAGAAATATTTTTTGCTAATATTCCATATTTTTTATAAAATACTCAAATACACAATACAACAAAAATAGAACTGAATCCTTTCTTTGTGATTGTTGGCGCACTGTGTTCACTGTTATCACTGCAATCATTTAAGAGTTATTTGCATATAGTTGCTATAATTGGGTGTAGGTGGACATTTTTCTGGTGAACCTAACAAACACACTGGTCATAGCAATCACATGGAAAATTATGCTTAAAGAATTTTTACAGATATTTTGTGAGAGTTGTCTCCCTCTTTAAAGCATGATATTATTTAATTTTTAATTCCCAAAGTAGTTACAAGAATACAAAGAAAAGTACTGTATTTTCTCAAATAACCCCAGCATTATTTCAAACCATTGCTCTCAAACCAAGATGTTTATTTTAATGTTGCTTTAAGGCTGGCAAGGGATTTCCCAGAGATTTTCCGAGGGTACTATGAGCATGAACCCCGGCTACTTTCACAGGAAACAAAAGGAAAATAAAACCAAAAGAATTCCATAGCTGTTCAATCCCCTGCCCAGTAATTGCATACATGTGGCAACTTGAAATCTTAGTAAAAGCTGTGATTATTCTATTGTTTTAAACTGCCATGTTTCTTTCCCTTAATATCGCCTAGAATGAATGCCAAAGGAGCATATATATAATAATATTAACTTTCACTTACAGATGCTGTATTTAGTAGGGTTGGAGCATTTAGGCAAGTAAATGTAGATTGGATTCTTTTTCAAAGAAACGTTGTCACCATATCCCTTTGATTCTCAATGTCAACAAGCAAATTCTCCAAACTGATCTCCATACATTTCCTTAAAGAATTAGTTAGAGGAATTTGATAAAAGATCAAAGCATTTTTCCTTTGTTGATCAGTTAATTAATTCTCACACCTTTTTCTCTTGATAATGCATTGATATTGTTAGGCGAAAATTGTTGTTGGTCACTTTTGGGACTCAAAGGGATATCCAAACTTTCCTACAGTGGACCTTTTCTCCTAAAAATAAAAACAATTCACCATTTTTGTATAGAGCATAATGCACCTTGTTTACCCCCTCCCCCATCAAAAAAAAAATTCATAACCATTGTGTTCGATCTCTCTTGGGATGACTGTACTATCCAGGAGAAATTGGAGACACTGGTTCTGAAAATTAATGGGGGGAAGGAGGGATAATGGGTGGGGAGGAACCAAGGTGTATTATGGTCTTTGTGAAAATAGTGAATGGTAAAAGCCAGTGGGATGAAGTTCAACATTTTATATGAAGGTACAGTGGAATCCCAGTAATTATTGGTAGATTGAAACAATCAGGCTAAAATTACAGCCTTTTTCTGGGAAGTCAGTTTTGGTTTCAGTGAAGAGGTGTCTCAATAATATCAAGACTTAATCAGAAATCAGGATATCCCTTGCATTTCTAAGGTCCTACATTTTCTCTTCCTTCTTGACCAAGGTTAACCTCAAGCTCCTTTAAATCCAAGTTATTGATTTGAGTGAGCTTTATTTTGTTATTGTCAGTTGTCCTGCAAAATAGATTTAAGGTTACGAGTTTAGTGTCGTTTCAACTTGGCAATATGTGGATTTGTTGGTATTTGCTTCTGATTATTTTGTTTTGCTCTTAACCAGACTAGATCTACAGTTTAGTTTTTGACATTAAATTTTTCTGCTGCCTCACTTACTGCCATTTATTGCCTAAGTGGGTCTAAATTTGTCTTAACTTAGTTACTTACCAAAGTATTTTCTAATTAAGACGTGAACAAAGTTTCTTCAACTCCAAAATTAATATTTGGACTTCTACTTTGTTAGAAAATTATCTCAGTGAAGAAGCAAAATCTCTAAGGCATCAACATAGGCACAAGCGGTGCACCTCCTGTCTTCTATGACTTAGCTCAGCCGGCTTTGGCTGTCCATAATTATAATACTAGGTATGCCACTAATCAAAACCTGTGCAGACCATTTTCCAGAACTAATTATGGTCTAGTAAGGTTTAGTGTGGTGGCATATCACAGATCTGGGAAGTAACACCTATGAAAATTAGGTTTCTCCCCTTGAACAGTTTTAAAAATGAATAATATAAACTCTTTCTACTTGACAGTCAGGCATCTTGAACAACTCTAATCAGTTATTTAGCTCTATTTATTTAATATTATTATTTAGTTTAAATAGTTTTTTATAAGTACTGTATAACCTCCACCCCCTTGTAACCGCTCTGTGGTAGTAACCTCGAAAGCTTGGCAGTGGGCTTTGGCAAATGAAATACACATAATAATAATAATGATAATAATAATAATAGTAATAATAATAATAATAATAACATTTCTCCTTGTTAAGGGTATGGCCGCTGTCCTTCAATCTGAAGTAAGATCTAAGACCTTGAAAACTAAGACTAAGGTCTTAGTTTCCTAGGTCGTAGTCTCTTTCATTCTCTCCCGCCCGAAAACCTTTCCTTGTGCTTGCTTGCAGGCTATACGTGTAGTTATCGAGACACGCTTATGTTAATTTCCTTTGTATCGTGGAAACCGATGTGCTAACCCTTCACTCAGACAGTCAAAGAACACCGCAAATTCAAATCACGTGAGGTCTCAGAAGACTTCACTTTCGCTGTAGCTGGTCTACATCTGCACTCATAATTTTAGGCCTAGATTTTTGATAGTTTTTTCTTAGTAATGCTTGATTTTCCTTTTCCCACTCTTAAATTATTCACAATTGTAAACAGTTTTCTATCGTGGACATATATTTAGTTTTTAATTAGTATCTTAGAATTCTGAATTGTTAAGGGGTTTTGCTGGAAATTTGTATTTATATAATATTGATGTGGACGTTTTATTTTTATGAATATTTTACAGAAGTTTTGTGTGTAGCTTTTATAAGATTTTTATAAGATTTTAATAAAGAATGTTTCCTGAAAGAACACCACCGCATGTGTCGGAATGCTTTGAATGCGCGCAAATTATCAAGGTACCCGCGAGTTTGCATCCGACGTGTTACAATAGGCGCTATCCCGTAATGTAGAAATATCATAATGTAATTTAAAATAAAGGGAACCCCCACTGGGGCCTGCGCAGTGGGTCTTTGGTTTTCAATGTATTTTTCAGTTTTTTTTTTTTTCAATTTTTTCCCGTCTCATTATCTCTCAAAGGCCCCTTGTGAAGAAACATGTCATATTTGTCTATTATTTCTGCTTATTGTAAGACTTAAGACAAGACTCAAGACTTATTTTTTGAAATGTTACGTTATGACTAAAGCATTAAACCACCGTTCATATTTTCCTATTTTAGAAACGCAAGACGAGATTATAGCAGAAAGGAATTGTTACTGAATGTATGAAGGATGGATTCAACAAGGGAGCAAACAACCGACGATTTTCATAACGAGTCCAGCACAGTGGTGGAACCGTATAAGTGCAAGCGTTGTGACAAGCTATTTATGTCCTTGCTCTACTTCAAAGAACACAATCGTGCACACAGGGCAGAGAATTCTCAGAACCCTTATCAGGGTAAGCACTGCGAGCAGAGCTTTACTCGAAAAAGGCAGTTTCAGCGACATGAGCGTTCACACACAAAAGGGAAACTTCACCAGTACGAGTATTGTGACAAGAGGTTTAGCCGTGCGCACGCGTGCAAGGAACGTGAGCGTGTCCACACACAGGTAAAACCTTACAAGTGCAACCATTGTGACGAGTGCTTTAACCTGTTACTGCAATGCGAGGAACATGAGCGTATCCACACGAGAGTTAAACCTTACAAGTGCGCGCATTGTGATAAGAGCTTTGCCAGCTGGTCTGGCTACAAGCAACATGAAAGGACCCACGCTGGACCTTTTACGTGCCAGTATTGCAACAAATGCTTCAAGACGCAATCGTATTACAAGACACATAAACGTCTCCATACGGAAGAAAATCTTTTCAAGTGCAAGTATTGTGATAAGTGCTTAACGTCGTCATCAGGCCTCAAGAGACACGAACTTAATCACATAGGCGAGAAAAGTTTCAAGTGCAACGATTGTGATAAGAGATTCCCCTCTTCAGCAGCTTGTAAGGCTCATCAAGTTTCTCACTCGGGCCAGAATCGTCATCAGTGCCAATATTGTAGTAAGACCTATAGCAGTGTATATAATTGCAGAACTCATGAGCGCACTCACACGGGGATCAAGCTTTTCAAGTGTAACCATTGCGACAAGAGCTTTCCCACGCCGTCACAGTGCAGTCGACATGAACTCAGTCACACAGGAGAGAAACCACATGAATGCAAGTTTTGTGATAAAAGGTTTCGTCAGTTATCACATTGCCAAAACCATGAACGTACTCACACAGGAGTAAAACCATTTAAGTGCAAGCATTGTGATAAAGCCTTTACTTCGTCATCAACGTGTATGAAACATGAGCGTATTCACACCGGGGAGAAACCTTTTAAGTGCAAGCATTGTGATAAAGCCTTTACCTCGTCATCAGCCAGCAAGAAACATGAGCGTATTCACACAGGGGAGAAACCTTTCAAATGCAAGCATTGTGATAAAGCCTATACCTCGTCATCAACTTGCAAGGAACATGAGCGTATTCATCGTAGGCTATCGTATTGCACGACAAATGAAGGTCTCCACACGGAAATAGACCCGTATAAGTGCAAGGATTGTGATAAGAGATTCCCCTCGTCAACGGCCTGCAAAGCTCATGAGCTCTCTCACTTGGGGCTAAAACGTCATCACTGCAAGTATTGTACTAAGTCCTTTAGCCATTTATCAAATTGCACGACTCATGAACGCACTCACACAGGTGTCAACCTTTTCAAGTGTAACTATTGCGATAAGAGCTTTCCCACGCCGTCGCATTGCCGTCGGCATGAACTCATTCACACGGGAGAAAAACCACATCAATGCAGGTTTTGTGATAAAAGCTTTCGTCAATCATCACATTGCCAGGATCATGAACGCACCCACACAGGAGAGAAACCGTTTAAGTGCGCATATTGTGGTAAAGCCTTTGGCTCGTCCTCAACCTGTTGGAGACACGAGCTTATTCACATAGACGAGAAACCTTTGTGAAAAGGGATTTAACGAATCTTTCAGATTGCAGGAAACATGAGGTGTATCAAAACATGAAGGTCAACCTCAGTCTCATATTCCCTTGAGTGAGAGTGTTTGAATCGAGGGCAATTAGCTTGAGAAGCTCTTCTCATTGCGGTTATAATTAGGCTGAAAAACAATGAAAAATTCCTGCAGGCAAATACGACAGCTTTGAGCCTCCGGCAGCTCAGTGGTTAGGGACCGGTCATTATTTATCGCCGGCGGGGGGGGGAGGATTTGGGGCCAAACAATGGGAAATTTTAGCCAATCCTCCATTTGAATTTTACTTCACTGAAGTGATCCCCCCTAATAACATTTGATGACTTTCGCGATTCCCCCCCCTTCATGTTTTCATTTTCCAAGCCAATTTGAGTGGTCCCCCCTATATCCTTCCAAAGTTTTCAGTGATCCCCCCTTTTTGGGTTCTCGGTTACGACTGACCCCCCCTTTTGTTCTTCTAAAACTCAAGTGATCCCCCCAGAAAATCCTCCGCCTCCTCCCCCACCTTAGGCGATAAATAATGACCGGTCCCTTAGAGCATCCGATCTAAAACTAGGAGGGTCCTGAGTTCAATTCTCTGCTGGAGCTCGGAATTTTTTTATAACCTTTCTGGTGTTAAATTTCTCCATCTGAAAAAAAAAAGATTCTGTAAGATACGCTAACAAATTCGTATAAAAGAGCCTGGGTGATTCACATGAACCTGAACACTGTTGGCTTTCGAAAGCTTTATGACAGTTTAATGAGTGTCCAATGCCATCATTAGGCTTAATGTCAGAACAAATAATCGTAGCCCCTCCTCACTTTCTCAAATTCAAAGGATATAACAAGGAGAATATTCTTTTTTTCTTGCTCTTTTTGAAGATCGAAACCGCCTTTGACAACAACGGGGTCAGTAAAGTAAACATTCCCTTACCGGTCATTACATAGGTTTAAGTTATCTCAACCTCTTCCCCTGGGTCTACTCGTTTTCCAATATGCCGCCTTCATATTGGAAAACGAGTAGATCCTGGGGACAGGATTAAAGTTGCATCTATTGCTTTCCTAAATCCTCGGCCTCAAAATATTTGCGCGGTCAGTGCTTTGCGTACGGGTTACGTGATGCGAGCCAAGAAGTAACCTTTTGTCGCAGTTTGAGTTATTGCACCGTGGGAAATCTCCACGAGAAATAGAGGCCTCCTTCCCCCACCACTAAAAACCCCTGTGCTCCCCCCCTCCCTCCTTAGGTACGTTTGAAACTACTGAGATACCCGCCCGAAACGTAAACCAACAGGTCTCGACTCATGACAGCAAAAACATAATCCTCGACGACAAAACTGCATTTTCTCAAGTTAGCCGAAACAGATTCTAACATGGTAATGAAAAAAATGCATTGTAATTAAGAGCAATTAGTGGTATTCAGCTTACTCCTTAAATAAAATCTGCATACCATTGTAGTTGGCGTGATAAGGCACCATGTCTCCAAAGATGATCCTGAATGGTGACTTATCTTAGTTGCCCAATTGTACAGATTATTTCATATAGATTTTAGAAAATAAGAACCTGTTTCAAATTAAGGCTAAACATGTCCGCAGTGTACAGAGCGGGCCTAACGATAATGATATTGGTTTAATTATTAGCAGCGTTTCCACAAAAAGTCGCTCTAATTTTAGCCTAGCAGGTTTTTAAAAGTCTTAAAACCATGTTCTTATGCGCGTGTTTTTACTGTATCTTAAAGAGAATCAGGGAACTTTGAACAGTCTTTAGTGCTTTTGTCTTTTATCTATTTTAGTAGAGCCTTTTTTTGTTCGGTATGATATAAACTGTTTGAGTAAGAAATTGGTGATTTCAAAGAAATTATCGAAAACCCTCGGAAACAAAGGATTGAGCAACAAAGCAGTCTTCTTTTTTATTATGTCTTTCAGAGTGTAACATTCATTTCATAATTATCATAAACACAATCATCATTATACTATGAAGCTGACATGGTTGACAAAGTTTTCCGCTTTCTTCATTTTGTCATCTTTTTGAAGCCATTTTCAGTCGTTAACGCGGATTATTCTTCACTTGTATTCTCTTTTCTCTTCTCTCTGGATCATTAATCGTCCATCGCCCACGTTTGGATATTCTTCGAAGCGCGATGTGTGGTCCTGTGCCTACCATAAAGTAAGAATTCCATTGCCAGATTAGAACAATTCGGTTTAGGGGGGAACTCTTGTGATTTTTTGGTGGAAACGATGCTCATTTAGGGAGGAAACAAATTAGAAAAGAAGAGGTATACACATAAACCATCCCAGTTAGTCCGCTACTGGGCTCAGAGACACCTTAATTGCTGTGGTGGTGGAATACTGATATGGTATTTGTCTACCATTTATTCCCTTCATTAACAACTTGTCCAATTTTCCAAAATTTTTAATACCAACCCCCCCCAATTTTTGTGACTAAAACGATTCGAAAAATCTTCCAAAAATTGCATGTAAACTTGGCTAGATATTTAAGAAAACGAGCAAAAATGGACGAAAAACAATGCTTTTAATCAGACTGCCCCCTTAAATCGATGGCTATGTGGTATAATTCATCAAGTGACCACTTTATTTTTACACTGTAAGATCAAAATGTTTGATTAAGTTTGAGGCAGCGCGAATTCACTTTTTACGTGACGTTTTCATCAAGTAACCACTTTATTTTTGCATTGTAAGATCAAAAAGAAGCAATTGAGGAATTTTGTAAATGTGTTCTGAGTGTACTAAAATTCGCAAAAAAACGCAATGAATTGTTTTCGGTATCTTTTGCTTGGCATTTTACACGAAAAAAAAAAAACGTCATAATAATAAGCCTCAAATAATCAAAACTAAAATAGGGATAGGTTTATACTAGCAAAAAAACAACTTTGTACGTGCTTCACGCTTTTTTGTACATTTCTTAGCCGTCGTTGCACGACTACAACGTGAAAGTGCCTAATTTCACGTTTTGTGGAGGACGGGAACACAAGACATCAATATTCTTTTTCTTTTCCTGAACTTTGATACAGTCCTTTAAAATTCAACTCCAAAAACATTTGCCAACATTTGACGAATTAAATAAGATGGAATAAGTTTGAGGCAGCGCGAATTCACATTTTAAGTGACGTTTTCGTAGTCGTCGTCATCGTAATTGCTTAAGCTCCCTATTCTCAACCGCGTTATAAGATTCCTGTCGCTGCCAAAGCTAACGCTGCGTGTACACGGCAACGGACGAATTTTTGATCGGATGAAAAATTTGGCCGGACACGTCATTCAAACGGCACCGTTCCATATTTTCGCTTTGTTGACGAGGGTCTTTGAACGCCTAAGGGTCTAAAGTTTCGTGCGGTTAAGGTGGTTTCGTGCACGTGTGAAAGGAACAAATAAACGCAGGAATTTTAAACCGGTCGAAAATTCGTTCCTTGCGTGAACGTAGCTTTGGTATTTTTTTTCTTAACGGGGGTGTCTTTTGCAGTTCTTGTTAATGAAAAATCGAGATTATACATCTTAACTACGAAACGCACTCAACGTTTTCACTGCCTTGAAGTACCTTTGAATTTGCAATGAAAATGTAACATATATACCTTCAGGATTTTCGCATAGTTTCTTTTACCCACTTTTAGTGGTGGGATATACCTTCTCCTTCCACTAGAAGAGTTGCAGTGGCACAGCAATAATGTTAGAATGAGGAGGCAAAGTGAGATCCCCTGCTTGTTCATAATTCGCTTCCTCTAAAGGCCTCCGAAAACGTCTTAGAAGATGAACGCCAATGGGTGCTTTGTTGAAACAAATGTTTATAGATTAAAAAAGCAGAAAAACAGGTGATTTTCTTGAATTTAAAGGTGCAAAGATAGCTAATCATTATACACTGCTTAATTGTAAATACTAGGCTACCAATTCGTTTATTTAAGTTGACAAAGAGATGAATTGTCGCTTTTTGTTAAGGGATTTCTTTTAATGCATTACTTTAAGAGGTTGAAGGAAACACGTGCTTTGAAGTAAATAGCTTTTCAGATGTGCCAAGCCCAACGTCACCTATTTTTGTGAATATTTCTTAATAAAGTGGTAAAGTTTAGCCAAACCTGATAATCATAGCATCTTTCAGTTATGAAAGTCATTTCGCAAACATTAGATATATCCGACGAGCTAAAAACACAAAATGAAACTATTTTATTATGAAATCGGCAGAAAACGTCTGCACGTTTTTTGAAAATCTAAAATAGTTTCAATATGTAGTGCTCTGTACATGAGGTAAATTATTCTTTAAGCTACTGTCTTAATTTGGTGAAAGTATTGTGACAAAGCCCACAGAGACAAAGCCAACATTTAAAAAACGTTTTATAAGGATAATTGGCGTCATCTACATCACTCTGCGCCTTTTTTGGACAATCTTTCTAAACTTTAATTCCTATACTTTACTGCTAATCCAGGCATGATTTTGAGGCTTTATTATCTGTTTGATAGAAGAACCATTGCCGATACTGGTTTTATAGAATCGATCTAAAGCCGGCGTCCTTTCAGTTTGTTCGAGCATGGTTGAATTATGTTAGATTGGAGGAAACGTGGCCTAGGGTTATTATTAACTTAGAACAAACGCCACTGAATCGTAGCCAACAGTTACCAGCGCCGTACAAACAACTTATTGACGAGATCAAGCAAAACTAACTACGATTGAACGACTGGAGAACTGACAATTTGACTAACAACAGACGACTGTTTAACTGTGACAATGGACGGATCGAAACGCACCAATTACTGATTACGAGTCTTCATAGGCAATAATATCACGTCTTAACTGACAGACGACCAATAACATCGGGACATAATTGACCAATCAGATCAATAACCAGAGTATATTACCATCAACTGACATGATACAACTCACTTTGACTCTGAAGATGACTACCGCACAGGTTGTCGAAACGTCAGTCACTGTCAACAACAAATCCTTCTAATTTTTGGCGGCAGTTGCAATCGCTACTTTTGAGATGTACGGCTGAAAATGTACAGGTTACCTAATTCTAATATGCTCTTTCAGCTCGTGCAAACAAAATTTTTTAAAAGCGAACTTTTCGT